ACAAGGAGAGAAACAGCGACAGAGACGGGGTGGGAGGGGGAGGGAAGGAGAGGGAGAAAAGCTTCCTTTGGATTCCCGAGTATTCCCGGGTAAAGTGAGTTACCGCCAGAACAGCCCCAAGCAAAAATGTCTGCCTCTTCCTCATTCCTCCCAAACTCTGCCAAAAGCACAAGACACCAGGAAAGTAATGTAAAGTTGAACAGAAGAGAGGTGACAGTTTGGGTTTTTCGGTTGGTTTTTGTTTTTTTTTCCCTTGGGATTAAACCACACATTTGAGGCTGTCTTCTGCTACGTAGTAAGTTCAAGGCCAGCCTAGGCAATATGAGACCCTGTTTCAAAAAAAAAAAAAAAAAAGGCGGGGTAGATCCAGCTAGACTCTGTTGACTGGCAATTATCACTCTGCTAATGAGGTCCAGAAGGAAGAAGTCACCATTTCTTCACCCCAACCTCACTTCTCCCCTCAGTTGTTTACATGTGGCAGGAAGCTAGTTGGGACAAAGACATCCAGGGAACTCTTCGGGACATTTCAGTTCGTATTTGTCCCGCGGAGGATCATTTGAAGTTCGCAGCACAAGGGCAGCCAGGGCTTTCTTCTCATCAGTAACCAAAACTGTCCTATTTGGCTCGGAAATGGACGGCAGCACCGCATATTTATCTAATTCCCTTTCTCCTGCAAGGGAGGTGCTACCTGGCCCCACCCCATGCAAGGGAGCATGGAAACAGAACCCGTGGCTTTCTGTTTCGTTTTGGTTTTGGAAACACGGCTGTCCGAGAATTCACTGTGTACCCCAGGCTGGCCTGGAACTCACAGCAATCTACCTGCATTTGCCTCCCAAGCACCAGAATTAAAGGCAGGCACCACCTGACCTGGCTTTACTTAGAACAGATGGTTTTTCTGTTTTCCAAGAAGATGTTTTTTACCTTTAAAACCTTCACAGGTCCATGATACGTATTAGGTTTCAACATCACATAAAAACTGTTCAAAACATAGTAAGTGGGTAGTGGGCAACTTTCTTCTCCGTCTTTTTTTTTTTTTTTTTTGAGACAGGATCTTGTTATGTAGCCTAGGTTGTCCCAGTACTAGCTACATAGGCCATGGCCGCCTCCAGCTCAGGGTAGTCCTACTGTCTCAGTCTTCTAAGTGACAAGATTATGGGTGTGTTATAAAACCTGGGATCCTTCCCTGTCTCTAACCCCTTCCATCGCAGCAAAGATATTTTCAAAACTATGTCCAGCCACATGTGGTAACACACACCTATAATCCTAGCTCTCTGGAAGGAGCTGCAATGAGAGGACCAGGAGTGAAAGGCCAGCCCCCTCTACATCTAGAGTTCCAAGCTAGCCTGGGCTATATGAAACAGGTGTCTCAGAAAGCCAAGAGTTACAAATAAAAAACTCAGTCATACTGTGTTGATTTCTGAACAAGTTGCTTAGCTCCAAAGAGACTGATTGAACCCCATCACAAATCTGGATACCGGTGCTGTTTCCATGGTGTGGTCCGGATCCCCACCACCCCGGCTGGGTCCCGTCCCACTTACATTGTGCAGCTTGTAGTAGAGTCCACAGGCGTTGCAGACGGGGTCGCCATTAGCATTCCTCCTCCAGAGGGTGGTGGTGGTGGTCTGACAGTTGGCACAGGATGTCCCTGCTCTCCTTGCTGCTGACTGGGGGTGGGGAGAGGAGGCAGGGTAAAATCAGAACAAACAGTAAATGTGTTGGTGGAGCTACAGAAACAGGCGTGGAGGGGGGGAGAAAGATATTGAAATCAAAACTAGCAAGTGGGCCACATAAAAGTCAGAAAGATCCCAGTTCGTCCTTGAAAAGAAAGATGCAGCCAATCCAGTGTTTAGGAGTTTGAGGGGCCTCAGTAGGCAACCTGAGTGCAGAACTAGAGAGAAGCAGGATGCCCATGCCACCCCCTGGGAACATTACCTCCTCCCTCCATCCCCACGTAGTACATCACAGAGTTCATTTTTAAGGTGACAATTTTCATTAGCCGGGCTAATTTTGGTACCAAGCTCTTAGTCCTCTCCATTCATCATTCCCAAGCCCACAGAGGTCTTTTTCAAGAAAGACTGGCAAAAATATTGATCTCTACATTAGCTGCTGGCTGTCGGGGCCCACTAACAGCAAAATGAAAGCACACCTGAGCTAGAAAAATCCTTTCTAGACTCCCCAAATCAGGAAATGTTGAAATAGCTGGGCAGAGTGGTGGCTGTCCAGAAATCTAGAACTCTGAGGCTGGGAAGGAGGATTGCTGCTAGCTGGGGATACACAGTGGGAAAAGGGAGCAGCTGAGAATAAGGTATGCTAACACAGATGTACAAGATAGTCTGCTGAAACACGATACTTTGTATGCTAAACTAAAAATTGAGTTTCTATCTAGATGTATAAATGTAGATATTTTAAAGGCTACAAAATACGAAAAGTTCAGGGTGCCATGATTTAGGAACAGGGCATCCTGAATCAACAAGACCCTGCAGCCATCCCACACAGCTGACACTTTCAGACTTGCCCGGTCACTTGCCACTCCCAGGGCAGGGACCCTCGATAGCTTTAGGTAGGTAGCCATCATGTAATGAGACAATCCAAAAAAAAAAAAAAAAAAAATCATGTAATGAGACAATCCAAAAAAAAAAAATACTTTGAATATTTCGTAGGAATCCTGGACACCACCTGCCCACCTGGCTCGAGTCTCACCCCACCTATGTGAAGTTCGGGTTTTCCTAGGAGTCACAGGCCAAACGTCAGCCGCATCTTGAATTTTAATTCGTTAGTGATGGAGGCTTGTGGCTCACTTATAACTGTAATTCCTGCCCTTGAAAACTTGCAAGATTGTCACTACCCTGAGGACAGGCCTGGGCTACCCAAGAGGTTTCAGGACAGTGTGGGCTACAATGAGAAAGCCTGTCTCAAAAATTAAATTTAAATGTCCTTAGCTGTGCTTTCATTTTCTTTAACAGGGAGAGATCTCTTTTACCTTTTGCATATTTGAATTTATGAGGCAACTTTTTTTATGCACATATTTTTTTTTTTTTGGAAAATTTAAAGTCAAAACTATTGAAAGAAAACGGAACTGTGGGCCACCAAGATGGCTTGAGGGTAAAGACACTCACAACCAAGGCTGTCTGGGTCCCTAGAACCCATGTGGTGGAAGGAAAGAACCAACTCCTACAAGCTGCACTTTGATCTACACACACACACACACACACACACACACACACACACACACACACACTAAAAAGAAAATGGAGCTGTCTTTTCTAAAATACTCCTCCTCCCCTTGAAAAGAAAATGTTAACTCAAAAAAGAGTCTGGATCCTGAGTTCACAATTAATAGTAAAGAGCAGAAGATAAAACACATTCAGTAACATCAAGAGACGTCTGCTGTGGAAGCTGGAGACAGCTCAGTGGAAGGTCTGTTTAACATAGCAAAAGGCCCGGTCTGGACCCCCAGGGCTCCCCCCAAAAAGACAAGGAAATCAGGAAAGGAGGAGGAAGCAGGGGGGAAGGGAGGTAGGGAGGAAGAAGGAAAGGGAAGGAAAGAAGGAAGAAGGAAGGAAAATAGACTGGTATGATTTGAAGAACATGAAACTAAAAACTACAGAACCCCAGCTTTATTCTCTATCGATACTGTATCAAGCGCAAAGTAGCAACAGTCAAAGCCGCGTTTGGAAGCCCAATGGCAATTCTGATGGAGTTCAGCAGACAGATTCTTTCCTTTTAAAGCCCTAGGTTGTCCGCAGATCTGCTCCCATGGGCTTTAAATAGCCAAGCCCAGACTTTTAGGGATTGCAAGGAAGTGGAATTAAAAACAGCCCCTGTCTGTCACCGTGGAGAAGGTGCTGTTTTCATGCCGTCCATTCTGAAAATAAGTCACTGCAGCACCAGAGTTTGGTGCTGATTCTGGAGCCTTTGGCCACCTGCCTTTGTGAAATGTGATCATTTAATACTTAAATAACGATTTCCCCTCATGTGCTCTCGGGAAGAAAGTCCTACTGAAAACCAGCGCCTAATGATTTGTGACAATTATGTTACATGTGATTATTGTCACCATCCTATGGCATTTCAGGAGAAATATTCAGATCAAGCCCAACAGTGTCCACTCAGGCAACCAGCTTTCCCAGTTCAATCATTTTGAATGTATAATGTAAATATAAAGCCAATTAATACAATGAGTGCACTAAAGAAAGAATTCAGTACATAATAAATAATCCTTTGCAGTAGATTGTAAAGATCATAAATACACGTGTGCGTCAGGTATGTCTCTGGTAAGACAGAGTTTATATAAACCTACAGAGTTGCCCAAAACCACACTGCTGGGCTCAGTGGCCCGGGCATCAATAAGCCCTTCGATGAGGCAAGCTACCCAACCCATTCTAATTGTATGTAAGACGTAAGAAAATTCTGGAATACTAGCAGGAGGAAAAGCTATAGATCTGGCCGTGGGTCCTCTCTTCTATGTCAGTGTTTGATTTGTATCTCCTGGAGATACATGATGGGCTAAGTGGTCATCAGTGGGTCAGCAAATACATGGAAACAAAACCAGCAAGCTATAAAGGCTGGGCAGAAATGAAGAGACGGAAGAGAACACAGCTCCAGCGTCCTTAGCATCCGTAAGCCTAGATGTCTCCACCCCAGCTCGCAGGGCGGGGAAGGAAAGGAAAGAACAGGGTCTAGGTCTTTAGAGTAGAAAGCATCTGAAGGGGGTTGGGAGGTAAGCTGGTGTGACGGCTCAGAGTGTAAAGGGGCTTGCCAGCAACTCTGATGATCTGAGTTCGATCCCCGGAACTCACGTGGTGAGAGAGTACCGACTCTTGCTACAAGTTATCTGCTGACGTCCACGCACACACAGCAGCACGCGGCACACACACATAAATTACAACAGAAAGAGAGAGAAACTTCTGTGTGTCTCCGTGTAGCACATGAATTATAATAGGATTGAAAATATCCATGCCACCCCCCTGGTGGGGGGAGATGGTTAACACAGACAGCTTAAATTGTGACAGCCTGTGAACTCTAGAATTAAAATCAATTATTACTCAGAGTTCCACAGACTTCCTATGAAAGGTGAGTGGAGGCAAACCTATATAAAATAGTAGAGTCCTCCCCTGTGTTCTCCGAAAATGCCAGATAAATTCTCCTTCATTCAGTAGAAAACTATGAGACTTTTCAGATCTTTATAATTTTTTGTCTTTACTTTAAAATTAAAAACTGTAACTGTATCATGATATATTTCAAGAAGAAGTTTTGTTGTTGGTTTTTTGGTGTTTTTTGCTTTTTTTTTCACTAAGGCTGGGTTCTGAATGATTCACGGCATTCTTTTGCGGTGTGATCACACTCATTCTGAGCTAACACCTCCAGCCATTTTTTTTTCTAGTGCTTCTTGTTCTGATCCGTCTAAACATCTTGATGTTTAAGTTGGAGAAGCTGAGTTGCTGTTTATGAGTTATCTCTAGCCCTCAGATATCCGGCAGCTTTTTCCTAGGAAGTTGCACGTAAGAGAAGGGGGGGGACCCTTAAACTGCATGAGAAGTGGGAGGGGGAGGGGGGTTGAGACAGTTGGCGAAAAGGGCAAAGATCAGATAGAATGAAGCCTAGAGATCTAAGATTGGAAAAAAAAAAATTGAAGTCATGTGTGGGCACTTCCACCCTAGAAAGTTTTCCTTTTTCTAAGGAGGAGGCAAAGGTGTTAAACTGCACTGCTGTCAGGCAGGGAAGACTAATATTGCTTTCAAGAGGGGTAGTGGGGGTCGCGTCTGCTCGGGTGTTGCTCTGTTTTTCCCCTTAGAATCTGCATGGAGAAATTCTTCCCCTCCACTTCAGCATCTTGATGTCGCCTCTGCGGGCCAACTACTCTAATATACAATCATTGTTCAATCCGGCCCAAGGCTTCAGAGTCAAGTTTACAAACGCCTCCTGTTTACTTTCTTTATAAATGCTCAATGCTTCGAGATTTTCTCAAGTATTACTAATAACCGAAAAGCTCCAGAAATAAAAGAAAGTGTATATGGTGGCAGCCGGAAACTATCGCCCTATGGAGAGTTGTTATAAATAAATGAATGAATGACTAAACAAACAAACAAACAAATCAGAAGCTAGGAGACCAGGAATCAAGACAAGAATCACAAACCTTCCCCAGGAATCACCTGCAAAAGTCCTCACTGTCTCAGACAGAGAAGCAGAAAAACACCAAGGGCTGAGTCTGAAAGTCGGCTAATTCAGCATCAATTCCCACGGCCAAGGCCAGCTTCAAATTCTACATGTGGTTGAGACTGACCTTGAACTCCTGATCTTGTGGCTCCATTTCCTAAATTCCAGCATTACGGGAGTGCATTACTGGACCAAGTCCTGTGAGTCTTAAAGCGTTGACACCAGAAGGTCATGCCCAGCCCTGGATCTGTGACTGCTTCCTCAGAGCCTTCTACTACCTCTTCCAGGGTATGTTCTACGTGGTTCCTGGGGTATTTCCTTCCCACATTAAACTTCTATCTGTGACGCCGCAATTACTGACATTGTTGTTCTGACATTGCTAAGCTTAGTTATTCCATTGGGAAATAAGTTTCAGTTCTGATAACCAATAAGTTAGTGTCCTTAAAATTTAAGAAGTGACTTAAACATGAAAGACAAAAATACAGTTTTTCTGCATCTAATTTGAAAAAAAAAAAAAGAAGAGGAAAGGGGGGATGGGGTGAAGTAGCAAGAAAAGGTAAAAAGGGAAGAAGAAGAAGAAGAAGAAGAAGAAGAAGAAGAAGAAGAAGAAGAAGAAGAAGAAGAAGAAGAAGAAGAAGAAAGAGAAAACTGTCCTAAGCAAGCTGATGTGGTTCTCAGCTGTCCTGACCATTTCCTTCAGAAAGCCATCCTTCCCAGAGACGACATGGAAAACACAAGACAGTTCCATGCCTTCCAAGAACTTACCAGCCTCCGCTTGGGCTTGATAAGGGGCCGGTTCTGTCCATTCATCTTATGGTAGAGTCCGCAGGCGTTGCAGAGGTAGTGCCCAGTACCATCTCGCCGCCACAGTGGGGTGGAGGTGGCCCCACAGTTCACACACTCCCTGCCTTCTGGAAACAAGATCACAGATAAGTCACTTATGGAAGAAAAGCATACCAAAAGGAGATAACACTTAGAATTATGAGGGAGGGTCTGTGAGATCCCTCAGTGAGTGAAGGCACTTGCTGCCAAGCCTGAGGACCTACATACCATCCCTGAGACCCTCATGGTGTAAGGGGAGAACGAACCCCCAGAAATTGTTTTCCATCCTTCACACACACACACACACACACACACACACACACACACACACACACACCCCAAAATTTGAAAGGAAAATAAAAACACTTCCAAACTCATTTGGGTGGGGGAACAGTTCACCCCATCTCCAAAGTGCTCCAAAGTTATGACTATTGTGTCCGACATAACTCTTCCTGTTACCAACAGACTTCGGGTGAGTAAAGAGCAGCAGAATCTTGACTTCAACACGTCCCACTCGGTGAGGAGGACAGAGCCGAAAGGAAAGACACTGAATCTTAAAGCATTTCTGTGAGAGCGTGCTAAGTGTGGAACAGTGAGTGGCCAAAGCAAAGGACTTTTTCAGCTTCCTCAGACGAAGCAAGGAATGGTGGTGAGCCAGTTGGTCACAGAGCTGTCTATACAGACTGACTCAATAATGAAGATTAGGATGGGGAGAAGGAGAGATTAATCAATGGCTAGATAGATACACAGATAATAGATGGATGTATAGATTGATCAATTGGCTGATTGATTGAGTAGCTAGAACTTCACATTTTTTACTTCCAATAAAACTGGAAGTGCCCCTAGTTGCAAAGTCATCAATTAAGGCCCAGCAGGACTGACTCATCCTCCTGTTCTCACAGCCTCCCCTTCAGAAAACACCACATTTCCTGTAGGTTTCCAGCTGCTACTAGAAGAACTGAAGTTAGATTCTGGCCCCAGCCTGGCCAGCCAAGGGCTGATGGGAGGAAGCACAGTACAAGCCTTTAGGCAGGAGATCTGCAAGATGGGGAAAGCCAGGAGAAGAAAGGGCAGAAAGAGTAGAATGAAGGTCAGATAAAGATTAGGAGGAGAGTTAGTTAAGGGGGGGAGGGGGGGATGCTGGTCCACTCATTAACTGAGGCCTTCTCTTTTTCCAAAACCACAAATAAACAAACAGAAAACCAGCCCAGCCAGGTTTGTTCGCTCCCAAAGCCAGGGCTGAATCAGGACAGGGACTCCCCAGAAAGCAGACAGAGAGACTTTGCAACTTCTAAAAGTGGGGAAGATCCTTTCCAGAAGAACCTCTTCCACTCCGGGTAGTTGAAGAAATACACTAGCATTCTTAGTTCTTCCAGCCAAGGAGGAAGTGGAGAGCCCAGTCCCCTTGCAGGCAGCTCAACTGGACCCACCACGGAGGTAGGTCAAGGTAATGAGAGTGAGACACTCAGGGTGAATGGGCGAGTCAAAAACAGCCCGAAAGATTTCTTTGAGGGGGCCGGAACTATAGCTCGACAGTAGAGCCTTTGCCTAGCATGCACAAGGTACTGGGTTTGATCCTCAGCAGTTAAAAAGGGGATCCCTTTGTCTTGAGAGATTAATCAATGACACAGAAGTAAAGAAAGAAACTCTAGAAGAGTGATTGGGAATTCTGGCTTCCCAGAAAAGGAACAAAGTCTACCTTGGTAGACAGAAGACCTAATGATTTTTGGAAAACCCCAGATCAAAACCAAAGGAACAAGGGGTGTTCACACCTTCTCCAGGGACAAATTCTTGCAAGTTATCATCACTATAATTTAACTCCAACCGTTTCGAACAGTGGCCAGAAAACCACGAGAAACATCATTTTCCCCTTTCCCCGTAACTCCAGGAGCTATGTGTAAACTTGCTTTTTCAAACAATATTTGAGCAGAGAATTTTTTTCCCAGCCAAATTACAAAAAAGCTCTTAGGATGGGGTCTACCGAGAACTCTCCCCGTTGTCTTAAGAGTCCCTGGGACTAGATATAAAATTTGCTTACACATCTAGCCAAGGTACTTTTATAGGAACATGGTTAACTTTTTCTGATTCTCCTCAAAGGTCCTGGAGTATATCATCCTCAGACAATTTTCATGTGGGGTCCAGCTCTGATGGGATATGGCTACCGGATGTAGGGAAGCTGAAGGGATGAGTGGGTAGGCAAAGGGGTACTGGCTGTAGAGGCACAGCCAGGAGCCTTGGCTGTTTTGGCTTCCCAAGTGTCTACTGCATCCACAGCCTGAATGCTGGGAGACAGTGTGGGCCACCGCCCAGCCAAGGCCTACTTTTTATCCTGTCTGCACTGGAGTCACTTAAGTCCCCTTCCCGGAGTCAGCTTGCTGCTCACATGGTCCCCTGCACCAGGCACAGCAGAAAGGTGGCAAGCCGCTGCCCCGAGCAGGGTGAATGCCTAGGCACCCTGACGCTGAGGGAGGGGATCTCCCAGCCTGTGGCCAAGCTGATTTCCTTTCCTTTGTCAGGTAGGAGGGAGGAAGACAGCTTCCTTTTCAGAGGGCCCTTGAAAGCAGAGAGCAACGACGACGGTTGCTCTCGGGCAGAGCCCTGCTCACTAGAGCAGGTTTCTGTCTTGATTCTCTCCACAAGTTTTCGACTGCCTGGCGTGGGCTTTTCTCTTCTCACTTCGCGCTGCCTCTACTATGACTTCAGCACACCGCCAATTTTCCTAATGGAGGGCCTGACTCTCCTGCTTTCTGTCTTCCTCATGCCTCTCCCCTGTCTGCTGTGAGCTGCCAAGCAGACACCTCTCTTAGGTGACAAGAACCACAGAGCTGTGAGGCCTCTTGACATTCAACAGCCATTTGCAAATGCCCCTTGGGCTTCGGACTGAAACCCTGAAACTGGGCTGTGCAGGAGCAGAAGGCAGGGTAAGCTATTTATCTCAGGAGAGTGGAGGGAGGTACCCGCATCCAAAAAGCGATCAGGGAAACTGAGAAAAATGGCCCTTTGGGGAAAAATAAAAGCAACAGCAACAGCTTTGTCTTTTGTTCAAAGATAGATCCCAGACCGAAAGCAAAGATATCAAGAAAGCAGTGCAGGCCCTCACCACAGCCTCAAACGTCTCTCCAAAGCACAGCCATAACCCTGATCTGTGTTTCTTTCTTGTCCAATAAATGCATCTGCAAAGAGGAAAGAGAAAGGAAGGGAGGAAAAGAGGGAGGACAGGAGGAAAGGAGGACAGGAGGAAAGGGAAATAAACCTAAGAGAATATCCTGAACAAGAATTCCCACTAGCCAACCTTCTGCATACTGACAGCTTCTGGAAACTTCCCTCTACACTCCAAAAGTCCCAGGTCCTTTGCGGGCCAGGTACGCCACTCTTGGTTTTTAATGACTGTGAGAAAGGAGGAAGAAGGAGGAAGTAAAAAGCCCAATATCACCCCTTCACCAAAATAAATAAATAAACAAATAAATACAATGCATACATAGGTATTTCTGGCTCTGGTTTAGGGAAAACCTGGTACTCTCCTGCTTCTCCCCACCTCCACCCGCCCCTCACACACAAGCTTAAAGAAAAAAATGAGAGAAAGAAACAGATCAAACCAGGAACAAAAAGTGTGCAAACCTAAGGAGATGGAGAAGAAAGGTGGAAATGAGGGCACAGAATGAGTCTTCTGGAAAGTCAGAGCCCCCTCCCCCTCGCAGCCACCACACCGGCCTCAGAGCCCAGGCACTTCCCTGACCTCAGAGCCCCGCCAGCACAGACAATTTTTGTTTTGCTTTGTTTTTAAACCCCAGTGCAACCTCAAAACACACAGTTCCTTGATTTCAGCCCTCCAGCAGCACGGGAGGAGACAACCAGGACTTTTACCTCTCTCTAGTCCAGCGCCTTCCCTCCCCACAAGCCCAGTACTTGCCCTGGCACCTTAGCAGACCACACTACTCCCTCAGCTCTCTCTTCCTCTAGCTTTCTTTTTGACTCTGCTAACGAGCCTACCTCCTTCTCCCTTCTGCCTACTTTCATGTACTGAACATGCAGGTCTGAGTTTTTCTGTCAGCCTAACCGCATCCGGACTCTATTAAAGTTCCTGGCCCAGGATAAACAATGCAACTGTCGCGTGCAGCCGTCTGAAAATAATTGGATTAGCTAAAACATATCAACTAAATAGAGACAGTCCTGCTCAGGCAGTCAGAGTGAATGTCACCCTGGGAAAAAAAAAGAAAAAAAAAAAAAGAAAGGAAGAAAGAGAGAGGAAAGCCCTGAAAACTGATCTCCTGGTCACTCGCAGCACCCTCCTGCCTGAAGCCTTCCAAACCTAAGCATGCTCTGAAGACTGCTCATCCAGCCCTTCACAGACAACTGATTGTTTCTTTAACCATTGCTTTTTTAATGCAATCTGTGTAGTTGGAGTGGCCCACTCTGAAATGAGGACACCTTAGGAGACCTAACAGTCTTCACAAAAATCCCTTCTAAAAACACACTTCAGTCTGCTCACGACCTCTTTTGACTGCTTCTTGTAGCCGCAAACTGAGAATGAATTTGTCTTATTTCTAAAGCAAAGAAAAATTCTGCCTGTGTATGCTTTTCCTGCAGTGACCTCGATAGAAGAAATCTCTCGGTGTGCTGGCAAACACCGTTTGCCTTTGAGGGAGAGGGAAGACACAGGGGCAGCAGAAGCATATACCTGCAGCATCCTTCCCACCTACCACACCTGGCTTCCAACCGACTCCAGGAATTGGAGGTCCTAAGTGGGGCTTCCGGCTCCTGTTCCCACGGAAGGCTCCAAAGGACACTGGAGGTGACTGACTAGGCAAGGGGCCCTTGATGTTCCTTTAGTTCTGCATCTCACTGGGGGGCCACCTCGTGCCCTCAGAAGTTCAGCTGAGAGTCTGTCCCTTTTCCCTGCAGAGCCTGCTGATTTTACAAAGTGTCTGCCTCCTTCCCAAACGACACACACACACGCTTTATTTATCTGTGCCTCTATAAAGGACAGTCCTTGGCTATAGCCCCAGTGACCCTTTCTGAGGAGAGGGAAGAGGAACAGTCCGACTGACAGAGGCCAAAGGGGTCATAGGAGGGACCTGTGTTTGTTTAGGTTGGAGGAGGTTTCGTTTTAGCTTTAAACACTACAGATTTATTCCTGGGGCCTTCCATTTGGTCTTGGAAACTAAAGGTTAGCGGTAGAATCCAGAAGTCCCTCAGCAGGCAAGAGGAAAGGGCATCCATTTGTTTGTGTTAGTCTTTTCCCTTTCCCAACTCACTGGGATGGGGAGGGTGGGGGTTACAAGCAGATCACACTTCCCCTCTGCAGCCTAAGTCAGTAGGAGTTAAGACACACCACATTCTTCCCAGGCTGGAAGAATGGAAGACATTAAGTAGATCTCCTCAGGGCTGGGTGATACCTGTAGGCCTCCCAAATACTCCCCCACCCCCCACCTTTTTTTTTTTTTTTTTTTTTTTTGAGAGAAGGAAGACCCTTTTTGGCCTTGACCTGGGTGTAGAGGAAGTAAGAGGGAGCAAAAGAGAGATTCCCAAGGGTGGAGGTGGCTTACCTGTGCTGGATCGCGCCTTGGGCCTCGACTTACACCCGAACCCAGTAGGGGATCCTCCCAGCAGGCTGCTGGGTGGGAAGAGTCCGGAGCTGTACTCGGGCACATAGGGCGGATAGGTGGTGATGGGGTGGTGGGCTGAGGACGAGGCCCCTCCCAGGGTGGTCATGCTGCCTCGGGAGTGGGAAGTCTCCAGCTTCATGCTATCCGGCAGCGGCACCTGATATTTGAGGCACTCTTTCTCATCTTGCCGGGCCGAGCCCGCCGATCCCGGGGTGGACAGCGACGGGTCTGGGGAGACGTCCTTCGGAGGGGTGGGTGGGAAGGTGAAGAGATGCGGACTGGAGTGGCCTGCGGCCAGAGAAGAGGAGGAAGCCGGAGGGTAGACGGACAGCGGCCCCGGGGAGCCGTGGTGGATGGACGTCTTGGAGAAAGGGCTGAGGTTCCAGGGCGAGGCCGTGTGGTGGCTGCTCAGGGCTTTTCCACCATCCAGCCAGGGCAGGGATCCGTGCAGCAGAGGTGGGCGGCATACCTGGCTCCCTGCGACGCGAGCGAGGGCAGAGGAAGAGAAGGAGAGAAAAGAAGACCGCATTGAGAGCTACCCTCAGACACACCTGGAGAGTCTACCCCTGGCGCCCCCAACCACCCAGTCAGCAAAACCTCCAGGCCCAACTGCGCAAGGGAGCTCAAACCTCCTCTAATCTCCGTGGTTCCATGAGGACCGGGCCCACACGCCCCGAGGTGGAAGCAGACCCTGTCCACACCCAGCAAATCTAAAACGAAAGGCCTGCTCCTAATACTCCAGAGGAGTCGCAAGGACGTGGAGAAAGGTTTCGTGGCTTATTTGTCCTGTCCAAATACAGAGTCTACATCAGATTTCCTGGTGTCTCTCTCTAGAACCTGCCTTGATTTATTGGTTTCTTTCAATGGCCCTGATTCTCCCACCGCAGACTTAATCCCAACCAGGCTGATAAGGGAGTCAGCGTGAATGATGAGGCCTGAAGGATGAAGTGGGGCCACACCACTCCTGAACCCTAGGAGAGGCCCAGCTCCCAACACCCAATGCAAGGAAGGCAGGGTGCATTTGGGAGTTAATTTCAGAAAAGTTGCTTAGAACTGGCAAAGCTGCTTCCAAAAGGCCTGAAATAGAAATTTGCAAGGAAATTTTCATTGTCCAAAACCTTGAAGGATTTTCCCCCTCTGTTCTTTCCTCACCCTTCCAAATCTTATAGGAAAAAAAGAATAAAACAAGCCCCTTGGGCCCTGGAGACCTTCCTATTTACCAGGGCAGTATATGAATTTTCACCTGAGACACAAAATTCCAGTTGATATGTTTATTTTAAACCAGGGGAGACTCCTACACAGAGAAGTTCAACCTTCATTTAAAATACACGATTTTAAGGTGTTCATGAGTTATCGGAGTCCGTACTCTCTGATAGGGGAACCTTTAAACTGCAAGCGCAAATCTACGCTCTTGGTGATCTTTCAATCCAGTGTGCCTCACCATTTGACATTCTCGCCAACCATTAAGAACAATACTGAAACTAAAATCTTAAGCGAGAGGAAGGGGAGGGGAGTCAAGAGAGATGGAGCATTCTCTTGAACGCCAAGGGTTAAGGTTCTTTTTATGCAGGAAGTAGTATAGTAAATAACATTAGGTCTGATCTACCTCATTTCCACTTAACTGCTAATCTGCACACAACCCGAGCAAAGAGCGCCCCATCCGCAGAAATGACTGTTTAAAACCTGGAGGCTCTGAGGCAGAGGATGCCTCCTGCCAGAGGGGCTATGAGAAGGGAGACCTGAGCAGACCTAGCTGACTGAGAAAGCCTCCCATTTTCTTCCCTTCGATTTTTTGCTCCTTTGAGCACAAACTTACAGCTGGGAAGTGTTAGGGGTCCCCTGTCCCAACCACACAAGGCTGGTTTCTTCCTTTATTTTTCTTTTTGAAACACCTCAGAACTCCCCTAAACTTCTCAAGATAAATGGTTTGGGGGAGGCGACTGGAAACTCCTGCTTAAAAAGACATTTTGGTGTATCATAAATCTTTGAGGGAGCCTATAGGAACTACCGTAGGCCAGAGGAGAAAATTAGGCCGGGGTTGCTGGCAATTAAGCAACCTAAAAAGCAAAGACGTAGGAAAATTCTGTGTAGCCGGGAGTCTAAGCAAACCTGATTTCTCTTCAATTTAAGACTCCCTCCCCCACTTTATACCGTGTCAACCACCAGATTCTTGTCCTCAAGCTACCAGTAGGTAAGAAACCTGCCTAAAACTCAAATACACTATCTTTGGTGGAAAGCCAAAGAAATCAGAAATAAATACATGTGTTTGGGCCTTTCTGAAAATACAAAAGGAGGAACAAATTGCAAGGCTCTGTCGAAAGACCCCTTCCACCAGATCGCTAGAAGCTGGAAGCCCTTCAGGGGAGCCCAGTTCCAGGACCGCCTGGCCGGCTCTGCTGCCCGGCCTGAAAGGCTCCGCGCGGCGCGTGCAAGCACAGCTTGAGATGTCCCCGGCTGCAAAGTCTACAACGTGTGGACCAGGGCTTTATCCAGGCGCCGGCCAGGTGAGCGCCTGGCCCAAGCGACGGCCGCAAAGAGAGGCGCCTGCTGCACTTTTTTTTAAAAAACATTCTCCCTGCGAGCGAGACTGCTTCCTCGCCCATTTCCGGGCCCCAATTTTTTTTTTTTTTTTAATGAACTAGTGACACACTTGGGGGCTTTCGCTTGCTCTGCCCAGCCTGAGTCTCTGGCGGGCTCCCAGAGCCAGGAAAACAGGAGCGGATCGAAAGGGTTCCTGCACCGAGGTGGACTCACCGTGGTGGGTCGGAGGGTACCTCTGCACGGTAGCCCTGACCGAGTTTCCATAGTAGGACGGGACGTGGTTGCCTTGACCATCGATGTTAAAAAGTACGTCCACCTCTTCCGTCAGGGGGTACTGAGCGGGGTCCATGTACGAGTGGCCGAGGCCCGGGTGGTGCGTGTCCGGGTGCTGCCCGTTGAGGACCGCGGGGTGGTGGTGGCTCACCCAGCGCGGCTGGTCCGCAGTCACCTCCATGTCCTCGGCTGTGCGCGCGCCCTCTCGCCGGGCCCGGAACCCTCGCGGATAGAGGGAGGGCTGTCGGCCTGGGAGGTCCGCGGACTCCTGCCGTCGGAGGCCCGGGAGAGGGGTCGTTTAGTGGTTTGTTTGTAGTAAAGTGGGTGGGAAAGGTGAGCAAAAAAGTGGGTTTAGGGAGGAAAGAAAAAGCTTTGTGGGATAGTTTGGCAAAATAAAAAAAAAAGGAAGAAAAGAAGAGAAAAAGGAAGAAAGAAAAAGGAAGGGAGGAAAGAAGAGGGAGACCCCCCTCAAAAAAAAAAAGTAGAAGCGGCGGATTAAAGAGGCCAAATGCAAAAAAAAAAAATGATGAAGAAGAAAGGACGCTGAAATCCAAGTGTGGCCAAAAGGCACACTGGTTCCTTGGCGCTCAGAGACGGTTGCTTCTCCGGTCACCTGCAAAGCAGAGAAGAGGAGACCTGGATGAGCTGTAAGTACTTAAAACACCTGAAATTCTGGAGGGCATTAAGCCTCCTGGAGCTTCCCTCAGGGCCGACTCACCGGGAACGTGCACACGCACGCGAAGACCCGGCAGGAGAGGAAGCCAAGCTCCCCAGCACATCTCGCAGGAGCCCGGGACTGACTAAGCAATTAAAACTTGGGGACAAGTCCTCCCTGGAGGACACCGGCCCCGGGATCTTTCCAACCACTACAAACCCTCCAAAAGAGCTTTAAGTTTACCAAAAAGAAAAAAAAAAGCCCCCTCTAAGTGGAGGGAGGGAGATTAAAAAAAAAAAAGTCACAATACCAACCTGAGTAACAAGGAGCAGAGAGGAGGAGGCGTGTGACCTGCCCGGTCAGATTGCGTAGCTCTATGTCTCGCTCTCTCAGTCTCTCTCTCTCTTTTTCTTTCTCTCTCTCTTTTCCTCTCCCTCTCTCAGTATTTTTTTTTTTTTTACAGGGAATGCATTCTTTCTGAAAGTATCAAGACGGCGCCAGGCAGCTCAGTGTTCGCAGACAGCTGTGGCGCGACGCAACTTAAGGAGGTTCTAGTGTCATCCGCGCCGAGGGGGAGGAGCCTGGCGCTGGCAGGAGGGGACACGATCCCTAGCACAAGGAAACTGCAACCCAAACCCGCTCCAGGACTTCACCCCCACCCCCACCCCATCCCCCCCCCCCGCACACCGCCGCCCCTCCTCCCGCCCCTCCACTGACCGGAAAGGGGCGCCGCCGAGGGCCGCCTAGGGCAGAGGGGCCGCGGGCAGGGTGGGCGAGGCCCGCCCGGGATTGGGGCGGAGGGGACAGGCAGGAGGGAATTCGCGCTCTGGCCCTTTAAGTGTAGCAGAGCCGATTCATTCGGGCTCAGTAGATTATTCCGTACCAGTGAAACCCGGCCGCCCCATTCATAAAGCTAATTTCCATAAGCAGACTTTTCTTTTCCAACTTCTTTAAAATGAGCAAACTTTGAAACTAGGATTCAAGCCGCAGTATTTTTTCAGTTTATATCAGCTTGGGGGCTATGTGCATGTAAAACCGACCAGAAAAGTTTCATGGCAAAGTAACTGAAGATTTGCTTCCTGAACCAGTTTCCCCGGAGGCTGATGGATCGCGCAAAGGACCTGCCTGGGCTTTGACTCGGACACCCGCATTATTTTTGTTATGGTCTCGGCTTACTTTTACAAACCTCTCCAGTGTGAACAGCGTCAGCTGTTGCAGCTGTCTTTTTCAGATCTAATGATATAATCGATGTGCGCTTTTGACTTGAGTGACAACGTGATGGATGGAAAGCCGGGTAGGCAAGACCCAGGCTCACTGGTCCCCGAAGTGCGGTGTAGAACTGACTTGATTTTTACTCGGGTGGCCTAACTTTTCCCTCTGCCCAGCTCGGGGCCCTCCTTACTCTGCCTTCCACCCGACAAAAACGGTCCCCTCCACAGACCCTAACCCTGACCTCCGAGGTGGGACCCAGCGACAACCTCCGGGGATTCTGCAGGTCTCGGGGCCGGGGTCTGTTGGGTGGGCAGCCCGCGGACGCTGGGAGAGCCGCCGCAAGACGCCCTGTGGAGGGGGCGGGGATAGACGAGGGCGGGGCCATTGTAAGAGCCAATCATTGGGCGAGACCACGACCGGGCCGCAGTCGCCCCGCCCCACGGGCTGCAACCTCTGCGGCCCTGTTCGGTCTTTTGAGTCACTGCATCCCCTAGTGGCGTTGAGGTTTCTGCAGCCTGGGTTCTGAAAACACAGCCGGGAAGAGCAAGGTCCGGCGGGAAAAGACTTGGGGTGCACCCCGTGGCAGTGTACAAGAAGGTGATTCCAGTCCAACCTCCAGGACAGAGGCTTCGCTTGGAGGGTTACTGGAATTGAAAGGTGTCATTGCCTCTTCATTCCTTTACCCCTTAACATTTCCCACCAATACAAAACCTCGATTCCCGACAAACCCTTCCTAAAAAGTTCTAAATGTCCTACTGTGGAGAAAAAGCATCAATGTCTACCTTGAAGCCCGTGTGTAGGGGGAAGTAGGGGGGTGGGGTGTTCTTTTTAAAGCACAACCCTTGAAGACAAGTTAAAATTTTTTTGGAAATGTGCCCCGAGGGCTTGGGTTTGGAGCTTCTCTCCACTCCTCATCTTTTACATTGATCTTTGTTCGAAATCAAGGCTGAATTTCTAAATACAAAACATGAAGATACCCCCTTTTTTTTTAATATAAGTTTCCCTCCCAAGTTTATCCTGCACCCCTTGATCTCGCGTTTATGAGGCGACCCAGTCTTAGAATATCGATTTTTACTTTCGCTCTTCCAACTCATCTCTCCTGGGCCAATCAAGCTGCCAGCGTCTCATCCAGCTCACGGCGCTCTCAAAACCTTTTAATTATTTAGTTGATGTCTAACATTCACCGGAAACCACTCCATAAACAAGCAGAGAGGACCGCACACACATTTTTGCTAAGAGGCCGTGGATTAAGATTAAGGATGGGAGTTTAAAAAAAAAAAAAGTAGTGTTCTTGTGTCTCTGGTGAGTTGTGTAGGATACCAATCAGCTTGACCCTAGTTCATAGTTTCGAGGGGAAAAAAAAATCCACAAATAAGCATTAAACTCTTTGGTCCTGGGCACTGAGATCTATAAATAAAAAAAAAAAAAAAGCAAAAGAAATCCTTCTCGAGACAAGAATCAAAGCTGCTGACGCCAAGACTTGAACGTGTTAATTTATGCGCCTTAGAACTTAGTTTAAAAGACTGCAAAAGAAAATGTTTCTGAAAAGGAACGCTTCCCTAGTAGGGGCTCCTCTCTAATAAATTTGGTAGTGGGAATGGAGCGGATTATTCGTTTTAATTCAATCACCAGAGGAGCTACGCTGGGATGCTGAGGACACTCCCCTCCCTTGGAAAAAGGAAACATCTAGAAGGCCCCTCCTGGTCTGAGGTAGTTTAGGGCTGGCAAAGAGGGGTAGGGGGCCCGAGGCTGGATGCCCGGGGTAATGGAGCCAGCCTGTAGGGGGTATTTAACATGTAATTCCCAGCCGGTCCGCCCCTGTTCCCGGACTGACAGTGGGTAATTGGGAAAGAGGACGTTGCTCTTTTGATGGCCCGCGCCGGCCAGTCTCGCCGACGCCACACTGGGTTTGACGTCACGGGCCCAGCCCCAGAGTCAGAAACACAGAGCAGGGGAGGGGGAGGGGAAAAGAGAGGAGAGGGTTACCGGGGAGGGAGGGCGGAGGTCGGCTCCGGGACCCACCGGGAAGAAGGGGGAAGGGATCGAGCCCAGAGAGGCTGCGGCGCGTGGCCTGAGGCGGAGAGCGGGACTCCGGGGGTCTGGGCCAGGCCAGGCGCCGGTCTGACCCGCCTCGCTCACAAATGCAGGCCGGGCTTCCTCCTCCCCTGGCGGGTGGCGGGGGAGGGGAGGGGGCTTGAGGCCGGAGGGAAGAAGGGAAAGGGTGGTCGGAATCCTTTATGCCAGAGCCTACAAAGCTGAACCGGGCCTCGTTAGGGGACGCCTCAGCGCCCTCCTGAAGATCTGGGATACCACCCCAGGCACCTGGGCCTGGGTTCGGTGTTGCTTATCCCCCCTCTTCCCCAGGAGCATCTGGCAAAGCTGGGGGAAAGGCAAGAGAAAGGCATCAAGGAGCCTGTTGTTACCGCTGCTGCCTAGAGCCTTTGGCTCCTGTGGTTCCTGAGGCCTCCCTCAATAGGGTGAGGGGCTGACCAACGATCTGGATGCCTGGGGACCCTGCATCCTGGAGAGGAGCAAGCGAAGGCTCAGCTAGACCCCTCCAAGGAACGGGGGACCTGGTGCAGTGTTGGGTGACCGGAACCAATTTGGCCTATCTGAAAACCCCAGGCCTTGGGGCTGCTGCTGTAGGCGTCAAGTTGAGCAGGGTATGTGTGCCCTCTTGGGGAAAGGGTTAGAAATGGATCTGACTTTCTCTATGCTTGGAGTAAGCTGGGACACCCCCACCACACGTCCGCGAGCGCGCGCGCGTGCGCGCGTGTGTATACACACACACACACACACACACACACACACACACACACTTGCCCATCTTCAGGTCCCTCCCACTTGCCTTCACTGGGGCGTTGAGACCCCATCCCTCTGCAAGTAGGCACAGTCTGTCCCCTTCAGAATTTGGAAGCCTTGATTGCAAAGAGGCTGAAGGTGACTGGGCCACAGACCCAAAAGGTAGAAATCCACGCAACTTCCATCACCCACTCGAGCCTGACTCTGAGAGAGGCCAGGCGAGCTCCGCGGGGCCGAGATGCGGAAAGATGCTACCTTGGAGGTTGAGCGCTGCCCTCCAGAGAGGGACCCGCAAAGCCGAACCTTGGGGGTCGTAGTACTAAAGTTACTAATCCTGGGCAGGGATAGAGAGCGCGCCTCGAAATGCCTAAGGCGGTCATTTGAGCGTGTTTACTTAAGGACTTTGCAAGCCGAGCGCAAGAGGAATAGTAGGATTCTCCTAGAGGCAGCAAATATTTGCAGGCTGAAGAACGAAGCCGAGCGGGGCCGTACTGCCTTGTCCCTCCCCCCGCCCCTGGAGCCCCGGCGCCGGCCTGGGCGGACCTGAGGGCGCGGTTACCGACTGAAGTGAAGCCCGGAACCTGCGGGGCTGGGAGGTCGGGGAGAGCTCAGAACCGCACCGAAGGCCAGAAACCGAGTGCACAGCCCCGGTCCCCGGCGAGCCGAGGACTAGGGGAAAAGTCCCTTCCCATTTCAGCTCTATCAATCTTCCTTTGATGCGATTGATCAATAAAAACGAAGTGAAAAGACCGTGGTCGCTGTGCGTCTGAGAAGGAAGTGGAGACCAGAGATATCCAGGCCAGCGCCGGCGCCCCCTTACCAATCCGGTTCGCAACCTGGAGGTCTGCAACGCTTCGGACTGGGGAAGCAGGGCGGTGGCGAGAACCCAGGGCGACGGCGCGGGGCCTTTAATTGGGTGTATCCGTTTTAACAGTGGCCATTGTTGAAGCAATTAGCAAGAGACAATAACCACCAAGATGCGTTTAATTCGATTCTGTGCACGCTGCAATCCCGACCCGGGCGCAGCGATTAACAGGCCGGGGATAACCGGGAGGGTCTGGTTGTGAAAGTACCGATCCTGTTCCTTGATCTTTTTGTCTTAGGCCTGGGAGTTGTAAAAGAAATGCTGGGGGAGCCAGATCTGCCCCAAGCAGGCCACGGTGGGAGACTCGTCCTTGGTCTTGCTAGTCCCCACTGGTCACCCCCCGGACCACTGTTCCTTCTTGGAGCGAGGGTTGGAGCTGCGGCCGCCGCGTCAATCCACAGTGCCTGTTTGAGGGAAAAAAGCCGGGAAGGCTGGGACATGAATCCACGTCTCCTTTCTAAATCCTACATCCCCCACCTCGGTTCCTCGAAACAAATCCGAATTACCTTCCCAATCGGGGGAGGAGCAAAGGAGAGACCCCTGCTTGTGTCGCAGAACACACCTCCTCCTCTGGAGTCAGCCCCACTACCCCCTCCTCCGCTTTAGCCTCCGGATTAGGTTACCCAGGCCGGGCAAGGATTTTCACTGGATACGAGAACAGTACAGGTAAAGCTGTATAAACAGTTCTCCGGCTGCGGGGCAGGAGGGTTATGCTGGGGACACAGCCCCAAGGCGCCACCGGCCAGCCTGGCTTCAGCGGACGAAACCGCTGGCGAGGCCGCTTCGCCTTGGCGACCCGGACCTCATGGTTAAACACAAATTACGTACGTATCACTGTAGCTTTCAAAGTGTCCCCTTTTCTCCCACCACCCTCCCCCGCAGGAGCTGAAATGCAGAAAAGAGCAAAATCAAACTGCGGTAGAGAACGAGTCAGGCAGTGGGGCCATGCTGGCTGAGGCTGCCCGCTCATCAACGGAGACCCTTTTCCAGTTACAACAGTGGATAGGGGACTTTAGTGATGTAGAAAGAAAGACCCTAAAAGTCACTGGTCACGAGAGGAACTGGTAGTTGGAAACCTCCGGTGGGTGGGGAGACCCATGGGAACTTGGATGAAAAGACTATGCGCCCACAGATCTCCCGGCTCCCACACCCACCCGCCGCGGGTCTGGGGTCCACCCTCCGAGCAAAATGAGCCACTGTTTTGGCTATGCGATTTGATTTTTCTTTTTCCTGTCTTTTTCCTTTTTGCTCATTCATCTATCACAGTTGAAAACACAGGAGGAAAGCCGCCCAAGCCGGGAGGAGCGGCGAACGACGCGGAGAGTCTACAAGAGAAGAGAAGCTCCCGGCGATTACCCGCCTCGCACTCCGCCCCCAACCCAGCCCCGGCCTGCACCTTCAGCTTCTAGGGATTCTGGCCCTCCCTCAACCAGTATGATCTCCCCCGCCCCTTGAGAAAACCCCTGATTTTGGCGAGATTAAAAAAAAAAAATGGGTAGGTAGGGGTGAAGCGGAAAGGGGCAGGCGGACAGGGAGAAGACCGGGGATTTCTGCTTTCGAATAGAACAAAGCACACGTGAGAGAGGGAGGGTGACTGGGGAGCCCTCGCCTAGGGTGGGAAGAGAAAGAACTCACCTAGAAAGGAAAAAGTGTGCACTTTTGCTTAGCTTTCCCCGGGTCCTAGCCCTGAAGGCTTAGGAACCGTGGGAAAGAAGAAGGGATGCCGGTGACCCATTGGGAAGCGCAGGTCCCCGCAGCCGCTCCCCTGACCTTGGGCACCATTAATTTTTAGTGGAAGATTCAGCTTCTAGATCCGGCCTGCTCCTAGGGAAGCCCCAGGTCCCACCTTTGAAGCACCCAGGATTCTGCCTAGCATCCAAGAAAATCCGGAGCCAGGTGGTTGGGGTTCGATCACTTGAACACACAGGCCTCTCGATCTTAGGAAAGATGTAGGAGGGCCAGCCTCAGTCACCTGTCTCATTTCGGTCCTGGCCTCCCGGTTCTCCCGACTGGGTGAGGCGCCCTCCCTCCAGTCCCCAGCGCCTGCTTCAGCATCCTTTTTTCCCTGCGCTTGGGTGGTTTCAAGAGGAGGAAACGGGCTATATCTTGGAGATGCTGAGCTTTGACTTCTCGAGATTAGCCTAAGGAATTAGAACGCCGATTCTGGAGGGACAATCCACTGAGAACGAGGGCTGAGGCGCGGGGAAGGCTGTGGAGGGATTCACAGCAAAGGAAGAAAAACGAGAAGGTGGTGCGATTTAGACCCCGCAGAGAGCCAAGGTTGGCTTGTAAAAAGCATGAAATCCTTAGTGCCACTGAACAGCAGGCAACCCCACAGAAAAAGCTGAGTATGCCGGGCTCAGAGGTGCAAAACCAAGACTTCCCTGGCATCACGGTTCCTTTGACCAGGGCCACTATCAGGCTGCCTGCTTGCCTGCTTGCCTGCCTGCCTTACTGACGGCCGGCGACTCTCGGATCTAGGTCCCCCCCCCCTCCGGCTTGGTGTGCACCCTCCACAGCCTGCCACCTCATGAACTTCAGCAATTTGTTACATAAAATAAAACAACCAGCAGACACACGTGCTTACTCATCATGAGCCGCTTGCAGACCCCCTCCACCGGACAAACCGGGACCTCAGAGAGAGCGACTGGCAACCCTTCCACATTCACTTTGACAGCACTCACCTAACAGCACCCCAGTCCCAGGCGACCCCGCGTGAAGCACAGGGTACTCCCTCCCCACAGTTAATAAGCCTCCCTGGGTATTCCAACCATTAGTGGTGTGCGGAGGGAGTAATCAGAAATATTGGATTGGCACACAAAGACATACGTGAAAAGGAACACATACTCAAGTGTGAAATGGCTTAGACACTAAGAATAAAACAGTCCTCCGGGGTAGCCTAGAGATTGTTAAAACAGCCCAGGGCTAAAGAACAGAAGGTTTCCCCTTTCTGTCCCACTCAGTGTCAGAATCCTTCTTTCTCTATCTCAGTCTTCACTATGGGGACACAAATTGCCCAAGGAGATGGAAGCCTTGGGACTCCCACATACCTGCACCCTCCCTGGGCCTTTCTGTGTGGCTTTGGGCTATTGGCAAACCGACAGAAGGGCCCCATCCACCCTGATGCTTGCATCCATTCCTTCACTGTGTCTCTGCCTGACACCCAGCACATGTATTTCCTGCAAGAAGGCAGAGTTAACAGTCAATAAAGGAAAATGCGGATTGCCCTGTGTCCCGGCTTGGGATTGTAACAGAAAAGGGCCAGAGACTCAGGGGCTGCTGGAAATGACAGTGTATGTAGACCACTGTCACGCATGGCTTTCTCTAAGCAAGGAACTTTAGGCCTCACTGAGCCACTGGCTTGAACCTTGAAGCTGGGTCTTCTGCTAAATCCTAAGGTAAGAAGCAATCAACAACCAGAGCTCATTGACACCGACAGTCCTGGTCTATCAGAACAGAAATTACATCTAGACCTAGTTCAAACTGATGAAGAACATTTTTATTCTTGGAGGTGGGCGCAACCATTTCACAGGAAGCCCTCTTCCCCACAAGTAGCAAGTTGGGCAGCCAAGCATTTATCTAGAAATACCTGGATGCATTCAACCTGACTGCCTGAGATTCCTTGGCCGTTGTATGTCACCCGGACAAACAGCCCACCACCACCACTGGAAAGTGGGTGGGCTGCCGAAAGGCTACCTTCATTATCTGTCCCTTCAGAGTTCTGAGACTCTCAAACCGTGATTCCAGGGTCCTGTTGTGGTCTATAAGGGCAGGAGAGGGCCAAGAGCTATAGGAAATAAACTCAAGTCAAGGGAGATGCAGCAGGCAAGGTTACGCCATTCCTACTCTGGACAGAATGACACTTGTCACTTTGTCACCTGCTCTATTAAATAACATTTTTAGAGCAACTGTTCCTCTCAAATCCACCAGACTTTCCTTGCGTTTTAACATTATCCTTGTTTTTTTTGTTTGTTTGTTTTGTGGGCGCATATATTTTTGAGTGGCATCTTGGAGGTCTGATGTCCCAAGAGAAAGTCCAAACCCTCTGCCCTTCTCCCTCCATGTAACCCTGGTCACCCTCTCTGGGAAACTGGTTTTCTCACCCACCTCAGAGTGCTTCTGTAAGCAAGGACACCGACCGACCGACCACCAGCTACTCTGAGGGGATGCCAGATGCGGACACATCTGGGCTCCAACTTTATCTCTGAGTGCACATCTGTTTCTTAAATGATATGCAGAGACAATCCGCCTAAACATATACTTGTAAGCAGAGAAAAATAAACATGGAGTTGACACTTGGACATTGCAGCCACCGTTAGAGAAGGCTCCTGAGCAGACGGGCTATTTCCTTCAGTTTTCTGTTCTCCATGCAGTGAAAAGCACCTATCTGGAGCCCCTTCCCAAGCAACCCCACCAGCTCTTATTCTCCTGCTCAGTTTTTCTTTGCACCCCAAGTTCCACAAGCCCCCTTCCTCCAAACAAGGACATCTACACACTCCCACACCATCGTCACCCAAGGTCACGGCCGAAAGCCAAAGATTTCCAGTGACCAGAAAGAACAATAAAGGACTAGGGTCTAGTTGACTTTCTTCCAGAGGCAGCTGTCCCCACGGGGGAGACCTCCTCTTAATTCTCTCCACGTGGAGCAGGGAGAAGGAGAACAGAAGAAAGGGAGAGAGCTATGTACTCACTGACCTGGGCAGCTCTCTCCTGAGGGCCAGCTGTTTTTTATTTTTTCCACCCGACTTGCCGGAGATCTGAAGGTAGAAATGACAGGCAGACTTCACCACTGTTGCCGAAGCTCCCACCGCCACACCGCCGCAGTCCTGGTCTGCAGCTGCCTCACTGCATCCCAGTCAGGCTGCCAGCCAGAGGTAAAACCTGG